ACCTTTACGGTCTTGTAATAGTGGGATGCTTGGTAACTAGTTGAGTTTTATGCTGGAAAAATCATCTTGGGAACTCATTTCAAAACTGAAATGATGGGTAGAAACTGATCTTGAATAAGAAAGAAAAAAGCAAATCTCCTTTTTGGGATGCAACTTCTGAAAGTTCTATCAAGCTTCCCCGATGTTCTTCTGTCAAGACAAATGCCATTTAAAGTTTACATATAACCTTAATTTCTTTTCAGATGCATTGCATAAAAGAATGTTTCACGTGCATACATGGGTGCCTGACAATGCGAATCTCATATTTAACTTGATCTCCATTGATTTGTTGGCTCCGTTTTGCAGAAGTGGAGCATGTAGCCAGCCCTATTTTTTTCTTCTGCTATTACTCCACTTCGTCCTAAAAATCTTTTAAGTTTCTCAGCTATGAACTCATTGCGTGTGTAAAGACACGAAAAATTAAAATTAGTACACCCAACATACGAAAGTCTACTATCAAGATTAAGTTTCACTAATTGTAACATACATGTTTAATATCGGAGCGTGAGACTAAGAACCTTTGGGTAATCAAACATCCCACACTAATTGGAGCAGGTGGAGACCTTGTCTCCTTTAGCAAATAATGACTGTAGAGGTATGGTGCAACTTCAATTTTTATCATGGTATATATTTTTGATGTAAAATGTTTTTAGGATTATCTCAAATCTATTTTTATATTTAATTATAAAATTTTAAATTTAAAAAATAATTAAAATCATGTAGATAAACATATGAAAATCTTGAAAATCGACGGTGTAGATAATATGTTGTAAAATGTACTATTTCTTAGACTTAAAATCTTTTTATTTTTCATGGCCATACATCTCAATGTCGAGATGATCAATTAAAGGGTTTTTCAACATTAAAACTACATTTTCCGATGGAATTTTGAGGTGCATCCGTAGTTCTACATTATAACGTTGCATCCTTATATAAACTTTTTCCATGAAACATATCGGTTATAAAATGGATTTTTTTTATGAAAAAAACCTTACATCCTATTTTTAAAACATTGATTCCATTTGTAGAGGGGCAAATGGACTATTTTGCCCCTTTTAAAAATAAATTCATAATCTCATTTTTTTGAATCTTGCACAACTTTTTCCCATACTTTCTTCCTATAATCGTAATATTTTTAAGCTCCTCTCTCTCACATTCTCTCTATAAAAACTCTTTACTCATTTGTTCTTCACATTCTCTCTCTAAACACTGCCCGGGTTTCCACTATAACATTCTCTTTAGTCATCTCATATTCTCTCTTTAGAAATCTAATATACTTTTGCCTCTAATCGTGAAACTCATTTATTTCTTGCGGCTTTTTATATTCTTTTTAGAAACCCAATCTCATTTTTTACCCCACTTGCACTCTCTCTTTCAACCCCAACCCAATTATTGTCGCTTCTCACATTTTTTAGAAAGAGAGCATTCTCTCTTTCAACCCCAACCCTATTATTGTCGCTTCTCACAATTTTGAGAAAGAGAACGTGAGAAGGAAACAATGAATTGGGTTTTCCAATAGATGATGTGCAAGGAGGAGGTAAGAAACCATGGGAAAAAAGTGAGAGATGAGAAGCTTTAATATTTTGTTTTTAAAAGTAGGGTAAATCGGTCTATTTACCCATCTATGAAAAGTGGGAGGGCCAAGACAAAATCTCATGAGGTTTTATTTTTGGGTGCGGTTGGCATATGTAGCTGTGGATAGCTGTAGAGGTAAGGTGTACCCTCAAATTTTATCATGGTCTATAATTTTGATGTAAAATATTCTTAGGATTATCTCAAAATCTATTTTTATATCTAGTTATAAAATTTTAAATTTCAAAATGGTTAAAATCAAGTAGATCTATGAACATATAAAAATCTTGAAAATGGACGGTATAGATAATATATTTTAAAATGCACTATTTCTGTGATTGAAAATCTTTTTATTTTTTATGGTCATACATCTCGATGTCGAGATGATCAATCAAAGGGTTTTTAACATTAAAACGACCTTTTTCGATGGATTTTTGAGGTGTATCCGTAGTTCTACATTATAAGGTTGCATCTTTATACAAACTTTTATTTTTTTTTTTTAAAAAGAAAATTTTTATAAGGCTTTTGTTTTTAAAAATTCCCTTATAAAATTGAGGATGGACACTTGTTCTAAAATAAGAAAAATGTACCATGTGTCTCTGAATATTTCTTTTTAGGAAAACTTTATGTGAAGTCATCAGTCATATTCTATTGAAGTAAAGTGCACTTAAAAAAGTATTTCGGAAGGGAGTGTTCCAATGTTAAAAAACCCACCAATTTGATAATCTTGGTCTCAATATATATGGATAATGAAGACAAAATTCTTTAACCCTAAAAATAGTACATCTTGTAATAAATTATCTGAAACCTCTATATTTCAATATTTTTCAGTGTCTATATAACTACTCAATTTGTGTGATTTTTGGGATTTTAAATTTCATAACTAGAGATATAAATAGATTTTTACATCGTTTCCCACACCGAAACTACATCTCCAAAGAAAATTTAGAGATGCCATCACTTCTACAATACAAGGAGGCCACCTTATACATATCTCATGCTTCTTTTGAACCAGTAAAATAAGCCTTTTTCTTTTCTTTATTTATAATAATCTGTAAAGGTGGCATAGGTTTTGTGAGAGTAAGGGTTGACAAAGAAGTCTTCCCATTATTGTCCCATATACATATATTACATAATCTCCTATTGTGGCCCAAGCCTATTATCAGCTGATGGGAACCTATGCAGGCACTATCCTCAACTGCCGTTCCATGAATAATTTGTAAGCTTGCAAAATATACCCTTTACAAAATTGTGCCAATTATCCTGTAGTGTAAGTGACCAGAGAACCAATAGGTACCAGGCCATATATGAATATGAAGCTGGAGGATAAAGTGCTAGTGAGAATGAAAGGTGAGTGGGTTTTAAAGATCTCCTGTGCCCGGTGCATAAAAGTTTTAAACTCCTCTTTGGAGTGGCGCGAATAACATGTTATTTTGTACAAGGTTGAAGTGTAGGATTTCAAGCAAAATGAATCTCCTGTCACTAGTTCAAGAAGATGAGTGGTTGACATTAAATGCGGGTAAGTTTAATTTGGGTAGTCCAACATCATGGCTGGAGGCATAAGGTTGCAGTCTTAAACAATCAAAGTAAGGTGCGTATCAAAATTTTATCGTAAGATGTAATTTTGGAGTAAAAGTTTTTTGGATGACTTTAAAATCTATTTTTATCTCTGATTATAAAATTTTGAACTTCAAAAATAGTTCAAATCAAGTAGATCTATAAAAATATAAAAATCTTAAAAATGGACGGTTCAGATAATGTGTTGCAAGATGCACTATTTTTTACTTTGCATTTTTTTTTTATCCTATATCCATACATCTTGATACCGAGATGATCAATTAGAGGATTTTCAAACATTAAAACATTTTTTTACTGATGGATTTTTGCGGCGCCCCTTAATTGTGCATTTTACAATTGCGGTGTATTGTATGCTTTGGCCTAAGGGGAAATGATGCTGGCAAGCATGTACTAGCAACGTAACACTGCATATCAAGGTGTGCATAGGTTTACTACATAGCACGAATAGGCTCCAAGTGGTTAGGAAAGTGGGGGTGTTTGTCTTTAAGTTCCATTCCTATAATAACTAGATCTTTAAAAAAATAAAAGAAAATTGTACCTATTTCCTCAATTTGTACTTTCTAATCATTCCCACTCTCCTTTTTTTTAAAAAAAAAAAAAAAAAATTTATACCACACTATTAATTCGCATTAAATTTTTTCGTTACTCCCCAGTAATTAAATTTTCTTTTTCGAAAAGTATATATAACTTTTCCAAAAATAAAATAAAGATTTGAGTACTTCTTAAAAGAGAGAAACTTGTCCCTTCAACGAGTTAAAACGATTGGCCACCATGTTAAAGGAGAGAGCATAACCCTTATCGCCTTGTCCTTGTCCATGTCCAAGTACGATCGACATTTTAAAACGACAAACTTGGGTGGACCCCCACCTGCTGCGTATCCTTGAGCCGTTTATAACACCATTGCAACTGCAAAAGGGGGCCCGCCGCCCCTCATCTCATCTCAATTATCATGCAACCTTTTCCTCTCACTAAGATATCTCACCGTGGAAAAAGTTTACATACGCTCTAAAAAGTGATTTATATGCCGACCCTAAATTTTTTTCTTAAATATGAAATGTTCGGTGGAAATTATAAAAACGTTGGTCTACTTGTTTTTTTTTTTTCAAAATTGTCCCTCGGCCCGAGGATATCTTTATATCGAAAAAAAAAAAATTTAAAGTTTTTTTTGTTAGTAAGGCAATGCCCCAAAGTTTGGGGCAATGCCCCAAAGTTTGGGGCATTGCCCTACTAATGAATTTTTTTAAAAAAGTAAAATAAAATTCAGATAGAGGATTCTTTCTTGGGGAAATTTTGAAAAAAAAAAAATATAGTGGTTGATCGGCCTTCTTTATAATTTCTGCCTGCCTATAAATAGAGCATTTCATGTTTTAGAAAAAATTTTAGGGTTTGTACATAAATCACTCAACAATCAAATTGAGGCGCACCTCAAAAATTAAGTGGAAGCGGGTATTTGGATGTTGAAAAATCCTTGCATTGATAACCTCGGTCTCCCAAATGTATAGATGTGAAAAAAATAGATTTCAAGCTTAAGAAAAATGCATCTTGTAATGCATTTATTTGTGCCGTCAATTATCAATATTTCCAAGTATTTATAGATCTACTCGGTCTACACTATTTATAAGTTTTAAATTTTATTATTAGACATAAAATAAATTTTTAGGTCCTCACAAATAATTTTTCCGCGGAAAAATCATCTTTGGACATTATTTATGCCAAATTTGATTGTTTTAAGGCCTCAGCACGATAACCTCTCACCATGAAATAAACAGATAAGGAAACCACTCCTATGTGGTAGCCATAGATTCGTACTTGTCCAACCGAAGGGCTCACCAACATCCACAGGCACCCCAACTCCAAATCCCATTTCCCTTTTTCAAATCCCGAAAAAAGAAAAGACAAAAGAAGAAGAAGAAGCCCATTTTTATTTATTTATATAAGACAAAGGGAGAAAAAGAGAGGACATTACTTTTGAAATGGGGGGTTTTCCTTCTAGTTTTTAGGTTCTTACACAGGATGAGTGAGGACGAGGAGAGAGAAGAGATCATCAAATGGTTCGAGAACTTAACAGAGCGTGCCCAAGAAGTGCAGAGTGAGACTCTTAGAGAGATAATTGAGTTGAATCTGGGGGCTGAGTATTTGAAGAAATGGATTGGTGCAAGTGCAAGTGTATTTGATTTTGATGATTCAGATGTGGAAGCATGTTATAGTAGCTGTGTGCCACTGGCCACTCATGCAGATTTTGAGCCTTACATAAAGAGGATTTCTGATGGGGATGCATCCCCCATTCTCACTCATAAACCCATCCCTTCCCTCTCCCTCAGGTCCAGTCTCCCTGAGCTTTTCTTTCAGTGTATTTCTTTCTCTCTCATGCCTTTCTTGTTCTTCATTTCAGCTCGGGAACAACAGAAGGAAGAGCCAAGTGTCTTCCCTTCACGTGCCACAGTGCTCAGTCTTCAGTGCAGGTCTTCAGGGTGGCTGCTGCTTATAGATCCAGGTTTTTGTCAATACAAATTTATGTAATCTTACTGAACTTTCTCTTCAGTTTTTAAGATGAAAACTAAATGTTCACAACCTTGAACAATGCTTATAGAATCCAGGTTTTTTTAATACAAATTTCTCAACTTTCTCTTCAGTTTTTAAGATCAAACCTAAACGTTCACAACCTTGAACAAGAATTTCCTTCTCTCTCTCTCTCTCGAGCATTTCTATTTCTTATCACTCCTTTTGGTTGCTTTTGCTGTCTTTCGGAAAGGAATTATCTCTCTCTCTCTCTCTCTCAGACGTTTCTAATTCATGTCATTCCCTTCGCTAGCTTTTTCTGTCTCTCAGAAGTGTTCTTTTGACCAATAGCAATAAAAAAGTATTCTTATCTCTTTGCATTATTGCTCTCTCTCACGTTTGTTTTGGTGGGTTTTAGGGTGTTCCCCATCAGAAGTGGAGGCAAAATCCTAGAGTTCATTTACGGTCGGAAACCGACCAAAACAAAGGGAGGCTTACCAGTAACAACTGCCACCACCCACTACTTTACCAGCAAAGAATTCAAAGAAAAGCAGAAAACAACAAAGGCCTTCACCTGTAGCCCAGATGAAGTCATTAACGCCACAGATCACAAACAAGCCACATATTGCCATCTCCTCTTTGGTCTCCTCTACTCCAATCAAGTTGAATTCCTGAGCTCCACCTTCTCCTTTGCCTTAGTCCAGGCCTTCAAAGCATTTGAGCAATCATGGCAAGAACTTTGCACAGACATAAGAGATGGAACCCTGAGCCCAAGAATCACTTCACCCGAACTAAGACGAGCCGTAGTCGGCTCGTTTACTTTGGACCCGGAGCTGGCTCGGTCCATAGAAGAGAGGTGCAATGGGCTGGATGATTGGTTTGGTGTCATTCCAAAGCTTTGGCCTAATGCAAAGTATGTTTATTCTATAATGACTGGTGCCATGCAACCATATGTGAAGAAGTTGAGGCATTATTCAGGGGATTTGCCTCTTGTTAGTGCAGAATATGGTGCATCAGAGTGTTGGATTGGGGTGAATATTGAGCCTACAGAGCCCCCTGAGAGGGTTACCTTTGTTGTGGTCCCTAACTTGGCTTATTTTGAGTTTATTCCACTTTTTAGGAGGACGAGTTTTGCGGTAGGGGTTGATGATTTTGATGAAGGGAGACCTGTGGGGATGGGAGGTGTTCAAGTGGGGGGCGAGTATGAAGTTGTGGTCACCACTTTTACAGGTGAGGCAGGCTCCTCTCTCTCTCTCTCTCTCTCTCTCCATTCCCTTCCTCTTTCTATTTATATGCATCACTTTCCCTCTTACTCTGTCTCTCTATTTTTTCTAAATTGGACTCTGTCGTATCTATCGGAGTAACCACAAGCTGTGTTTACAACTTGTAGTGCTCCGCACGGGCCCTAGAAAAATGTAGGGCATGGGCCACAAACTCCTAAACTATTTGAAACAGCCATAAGCGTCTGTTTTCCCTATTGAATTACCCAAAAAAAAAAAAAGAAGAAAAATTGTTTCATGCGGGCTGGACCGCATTCCTATATATGCGGTCAAGAAATTGTAAAGCATCAATCTTAAAGATGGATGCTAGTAGGTGTTCCACATGAAAACAAAAGAAGCTAACGATCCAAATGTTTTTTTACTAGAAGTTTTATTTATTTTTTCATATTCATGATCTCCATGCCAGAGATTACATGTACTTAAAAATTAAGTCCTAAAATCCATCTCAAAAATATATTTATTAAGAGACCTGCATTTTTAGATATGCGGGCTTGGCCGCATAAAAACCGGGTCCCAAAACAAAAATGAAAAAGAAGTGAAAGAAAAACAGCTAACTGTTGGTGTTATGTATTCCTAGGACTCTACAGGTATAGGCTAGGGGACGTTGTGCAAGTGGTAGGTTTCCATAATGGCTCGCCCAAGCTGAGCTTCGTGGGTCGAAGAAAGCTCATTCTCACTCTAACCATAGACAAGAACACTGAGAAAGACTTGCAGCTCGCTGTAGAGAGGGGGTCTCGGTTCCTCAGCCGAGCCGAGTTGGTCGATTTCACAAGCCATGCTGACTTATCAGCCTCACCTGGTCACTATGTTGTTTATTGGGAGCTTTGTGGTCATGAGGAAGAAGAAGAAGAGTGGTTGTTAAAGGAGTGTTGTAGAGTGATGGATGAGGCGTTTGCAGATGAAGGTTACAAGGCTTCGAGGAGGGATAATGGCATAGGGCCATTGGAGCTTTGCATAGTGGAAGAGGGGACATTTAGGAAGATATTAGAGCATTTTATTAGTAAGGGGGGAGCCATGAGCCAGTTCAAGATGCCTAGGTGCACTAGTGACCCGGTCTTGTTGAGCATACTCAATGGATCCACCATGCGTAGCTTCCTTAGCACGGCTTATAGATAGACAACAAAAATCTCTCTCTCTCTCTCTCTCTCTCTCTCCAAACTACAAATTTCTATTGTAATTTGTTTACAATTAGTTTTTGTCCATCGTTTATGAATCTATCTCTCCAAACTACAAATTTCTATTGTAATTTGTTTACAATTAGTTTTTGTCCATCGTCTATGAATCTACTGACAAAACCAACAATCCCCTCTCTCTCTCTCTCAAATTTTGAAAGGGTATTTGCCATCTGTTTCATCTGATGGATGGTAAGTATGAGGCCTGACCGAGCTGGGTCGCACAGCCCATTGCCAGCCCTAATAAATGGTGGATGAATAAGTGTACTGATGTAGTACACCATATGGTGCAGCAATTATGTATGTACTACATGTACATATACTCTCTCTAAGTAAAGGCTGTAGTTATTTCATACAATTATACAAGTAAAATTTTCAATTTTAGTTGATTCAAACCATCTAAACAAAAATGTGGGAATCCTAAATTATGGTAATGCATATAAAGCAAAGTGAAAAACGATATATGACCATATAGTCTCATTGAGAATATGACCTTTCATAGTGCAAGATGGCGGAATAGATTCGCATAACTGACTTCAACTAGTTGAGAAAAGGCTCTGATGATGATGATAATGATGTTGAAGATGATGCAAAATAATAGGAGATGTGGGGCCCGTATTCATGTCATTCTTATTTCTCTCTCTCTCTAAGTTGATGTTTATAAGAATAATGCAAAATAATAGGAGATATAGGGTCCATATCTGTGTCCTTCTTATCTCTCTCTAAGTAGAGTCATGGGTAGTTATCTTTCTCTATTTGGTGTTAGTGGGTAGTTATTTTGTAAGAATTATCAGATTATGTAACTTTGTAGGTAATGGCTAGTTGGAGTTATCTAATTACGTTTGTGACTCGTGGGTAGTAGCATAACTGATGTAGACGACTATATATGGGCATCATGTCATGAGATATGTACAACCTATGGATATAACCAATGTATGTAACTTGTGTGTAACTAGTGGATGTAATTGTGCTTAACTTGTGAAATGAGATATATGTGAAAAACCTTGAATGTTTGTGTTTATCTCTCCAAAAAAGAAAGAGTGCGTACTTCTTCTTTAAAGTAACCAAATATTTTTAGAATACTCCCACGCATCTTTCCAAAAGATAATAACAGTGGTATCAGCCCTTATCCAAATATTCTTATATGGTATTAGAGCGTCCATAAAATTTCAACATGATATCAGAGTGCGGGTTGTAGAGAGATGGATGAGGCATTTGCATATGAAAGTTACAAGGTTTCGAGGAGGGATAATGACATAGGGCCATTGGAGCTTTGCATAGTGGAAGAGGGGACATTTAGGAAGATATTGGAGCATTTTATTAGTAAGGGGGGGAGCCATGAGCCAGTTCAAGACGCCTAGGTGCACTGGTGACCCGGTCTTGTTGAGCATACTCAATGGATCCACCATGCGTTGCTTCTTTAGCACGACTTATAAATAGACAACACAAATTTTCTCTCTCTCTCTCTCTCTCTCTCTCTCTCTCTCCAAAATACAAATTTCTATTGTAGTTTGTTTGCAATTAGTTTTTATCTATCATTTATGAATCTACTGACAAAACGAACAATCCACTCTCTCTGTCTCTCTCAAATTTTGAAAGGGTATTTGTCATCTGTTTCATCTGATGGATGGTAAGTTTGTTGACCATGCTGGGCCGTGCAGCCCAGTGCCAACCCTAATAAATGGTGGATGAATAAGTGCACTGATGTAGTACACCATATGGTGCAGCAATTATGTATGTACTACATAGACACATACTTTCCCTAGGTAAAGGCTGTAGTTATTTCATACAGTTATACAGGTAAAATTTTTAATTTTAGTTGATTCAAACTGTCTAAACAAAAATATGGGAATCCTAAATTATGGTAATGCATATAAAACAAAGTGAGAAAAGATATATGAACTTTTTTTTGACAAATATTCCAACTTTATTAAGAAAATTACTCAAAAGAGATTACATCTGGCGAAACTAATAAAGTAAGCAAGGACATACCTCCTTTAGCCAAGGAATCTACTAAACTATTGGCATCACAGTAAACATGAGAGAAAGAAAAGGAACAATGAGCAGACAGGTCCATAATCTCTAACCAAAGAGCTCGAAGACTCCAGGGATGTGAGACTCCTTCCTGCACCAGTTAACAACATTTAAAGAATCTTCTTTACAAATACAAGCAGCTCCCAAATTTCTAAAGATAAATCATTTAATTCCCTTGCAGTGGAGAGGCAAGTTCAGCATGGTTAGCCGTGGTTGTGCCAAAAGGACCCGCATAGGTAAAGATGATTTCTCCCAAATTATTTTTTAAGACACCCCCGATGCCTGTAGGGCCTGGATTCCCAAGATAACTACCGTCAAAGTTTAGTTTGAAACATCCAGGATCCGATGAAGTCCAATAGCTTTTGGGTCTCATCTTTACCTTATCCAAGAGGAACAGATTCTACATATTAACTCGATCATCCATCTGAGAAATACCCAAGCCTTCCTTTGCAACAAAAAACCAATTTCAGATAGTTTGACATTTTTCAAGGAGACGGTCAAAGGGGAGGCTAGTACCATCAAAGGTATGTCTATTCCTTTCTTTCCAAATTTCCCACAAAAACCACTCCACGAGCAATGCACCATAGAAGAGAATTCCCAAGTGGCAAATGAAGGAATTAAAATTGGGAAACAATGCCTTGCACCGACATTGGGATAGTAGCATGGGACCCAAGTAAGTGAAGGAGCCAATACCACACTTTCGAAGCAACATGGCAGTGGATGAACAGATGATTCCCTGATTCACCGTCAAGTTTACACATTAAACAAATGTTGGGGAGTATTTTACCTCTCTTAATCAGGTCGTCTATCGTTAAAGTTTTATTTTGTAAAGCCAGCCAGATAAAAACCTAAACCTTATATGGGATAGAGGCTATTTCCAGACCTTAACCTCACAAGGTAAAAACCATCGCCATCTACCATGGAAGAAGAATTTATAGCAAGATTTGACTGAGAACATACCATCGTTTTCAAGCTCCCACACTAACTCATCCCCCACCACTCTAGAAATATAAACGGACTTCAAACGTTGTAATAGTTGTAGCTACTGTAGAAAAACATCACCATTGAGTCTATTATAGGGGAAAGAAATATGCCAAGCTAGTTTGAAGCCACTTAGATCCACAATACTAGCTATCGAAGCATCTGGTAGAGAGACTTTAGCAAAGAGGTTCGGGAAAATAAACTTGAGGGGGGTATCTCCAAGCCCCTTTTGGTGCCAAAAGAAGGTCATGAATTCATTACCCACTGCCCACCGAAAATGTAGAGCAATCATAGGTTTGCATCTGGAAATTAGCTTCCACAAAAAGGACCCCTCATTAGCTCGACGACCTCCCAACCATAACCCATGTTTGTCCATTCTATACTTTGTAGAGAGAGTCGTAAACCAAAGCTAATCCTGGCAGTGAAAAGACCTCCACCACCAATTGTAGAGTAAGGCTTCGTTCATGAATTTATACTTGCAAATGCCCAAACCCCCTTCACATTTAGGAGTGCAAACTCGATCCCATCAAAGAAGATGATATTTCCATTTAGCCCCCAAAGTCCCCCATAGGAAGTTGCGCATCAATTTTTCAATCTTTTTAATGATAGATGAAGGCATATGGAGGCGTGACATCATAAAAACTAGCAAATTTGCTAGGCAGAACCGCAATAAGGTGACTCTACCACCTAAAGATAGGTCTTGGGCTTTAGCTTGAACTGAACTCTTTGAATGACCTTATCCCAAACTGAAGCAAAGGGCCTAGAATCAGTAATAGGAGTCCCCAAATAAGTAAAAAAGAAGGATCCGACCTTACAACCCATACGAGAAGTTAAAGAGAAAGTGAAGTCAGAGGGACAGTTAACTCTAATTAACATGGTTTTGTGATAATTAACTTTAACCCCCAGAGCAGCCTCACAAATATCAAAAAAGCAGACCAAATTAGCAATCTGAACCTTAGAAGCATCACAAAGAATGAGGGTATCGTCTGCATATTGAAGATGAGAGATGGTTGGGCCCACTGTAGAGATCGAGAAGCCAGAAACACTGAATGAAGCTTCAATATTCTAAATCAAAATACTGAAGCATTTCGCATAAATGGAGAAGAAAAAAGGGGAGAGTGGATCTCCTTGTCGAAGCCCCCTAGACGCTTTGAAAAAGCTCGTCGGACTTCCCTTAATCAGAATGGAGAAATGGGTAGAGGACAAAGATCCAATTTCTCCATTTTCCCCCAAAAAGATATATGAACTTATGGTCTCACTGAGAGTATGGCCTTTCATAGTGTAGGATGGCGGAATAGATTTGCATAACTGACTTCAATTAGTTGGGAAAAAACTCTGATGATGATGATGTTGAAGATGATGCTAAATAATAGGAGATGTGGGGTATGTGATCGTGTCTTTCTTATCTCTCTCTCTCTAAGTAGATGTTGCAGATAATAATGCAAAATAATAGGAGATGTAGGGTTCATGTCCGTGTCCTTCTTATCACTCTCTAAGTAGAGTCATGGGTAGTTATCTCTCTCTATGTGGAGTTAGTGGGCGGTTATTTTGTAAGAATTATCAGATCACGTAACTTTGTAGGTAATGGGTAGTTGGAGTTATCTAATCAGGTTTGTGAGTTGTGAGTCGTGGGTAGTTGCATAAATGATGTAGACGCCTATATGTGGGCATCATGTCATGAGATATGTGCAACCTGTGGATGTAACCAGATAGCAATATATGGGCATCATGTCATGAAGTATGTGCAACCTGTTGATGTAACCAGTGTATGTAACTTGTGTGCAACCAGTGGATGTAATTGTGCTTAACCTATGAAATGAGAGAGATGTATATATATATATATATATATATATATATATATATATATATATAGTGTGTGTGTGTGTGTGTGTAGTAAGTAACGTACGTAGT